TGGGTGTTCTCCCAGAAGGTAATGTTTTTATTTTATCTACATAGATATGTCATCACATTTTTTACTTAAAATTATTTTATGACTATGTAATGTCCCCAGTGTCAATTATCCTATGATGGTAAAAGAACTAGCACCATTTCAACAAGTTTCATAAAATAGTCTAGCTAAACACCCGTGAACAAATCACACATGGTCAAAACAAAAATGTAATAAAAATATTTAGTGAAAAGACACATTTTAACTCCAATTTATGGATTTAAAAAATACAAATAAAATTTTATCAATTTGATATTCAGCTTGTAACTGGCTTAATACATAGCCTTAACTCATTTCCTAAAATCGTACTGTAGCATCTTTTGAAAAATTAAATGCAACTTTATACCTTCATTAGTAATGTTAATAGAAGTAAATCTTTAAACAGTACACTCGTCCCTGGGTCTCTTAAAAAACTGAAAAGTCTTAGTGTAAGTTTAAAATTTTAATTTTTATAAATTTAAAAAATTTTACACGTGCTGAATGGTAGCAGTGCTAACATTTTGTGACCATTAAACCACAAACTCACTGCATGGAGCTTTTTTCTTTGTACAGAGAACCAAATCACAATACCAATATTTGCAATTTGTCATAATTTTATGTGGTAAAAGACACCACACTAGGAAACCTGGGCTCAGAACACACTTGAGGTCAGATCCCCAATAGGTACATAGTGCAGATGCAGTATGTAATTTCAGGCTAGGAAAATTAGCTATTAGTACATATCTGACAGCTCCTAATAGCTAAGAGGCTTAAGAATATAGTCTGAAAAAGAAAAAATAAAACCTCTCCACTGCTGGGAAGGCCTGGGAAGAGGTGAACAGCAAACCAGAGTGGGTGAGGTGCATCACGATGGTTTGCGGTATAAGCCTCAGGAGTCCTAAGACTCACATTAGTGCAAGCTACACTTCAGTCACCACGGAAGCTACCTTAGAATCTTTCGATCTTAACAAAGACTTACAGAGAAAGCCAGAGGCCACAAACAGATCACTTCATCCATCCTCTTTAGAACACAGTGGATGCCCATTACTAAGCTTATATCTTTACCTGAACCAAATATATTCTTTGGCTAAATATGTCATAGGTTCTCATTATAATCAATCAGGAATACTTCACATTTCTCATATTTAAACTAAAATGTTTAAAATTCAGCTTGAACCATGGCACTTCAAATCAATTTGAGCTCAGCAATATACCCCAATTTGGACATTATTTAATTTTAGAAAATCAATTTTTAAAGAATTCTTAAATGCAGTGTTTTCAGAACATAGTTACCAAGTTAGAGAATACCCACTTACATTTTAAAATAATTTAAAACATTATTATATTCTCAAATCAAGCTATGTTGTTTTGTAGAATTTACAGAAAATTATAATGTGAAAAACTCACATCTAAGGGTTTAAAAAAAAACCCTAAGAAGTATTGAGGTTCCTTCTGCTTTAATGGTTAATATTTTATTTAGGAACGAATAATTATCTGCCAGAGACAGCTAACTTTTAAGGTCTAATGACAACCACCTCTAATGACAGAGGTGGCAAACAGAAAGAAGTAAAATTATAATAGACAAAAATAGTATTTTAAGGATTCAATCAGCAGTGTATACTAGGACACTCAAACTTGAAATCTTTGAAACTGACAGCTAGTTCCCTTCAATACTTGAGGGGTTCATACAAGTATTAACAGAAATGGGAAATATGGTGATATTAGAAATACAAAGACTTGACATTTTTGGTAAAAGAGAAAGTTCAATCAAAGACAGTAAGGGGAGTGTTAAATAATGCTGACTAGGGGGAAATTATAGAGATGCTTGGTTTTGAAATAAAAACCGTGAAAAAAAAAGCAGTAATCATCTCAGCTGAACAGAGTACTATAACATAATTAGATACATGATTTACAATGAAATAAGACTAAATTCTGAAAATTAGTTTGAAAAAAATTGCAAAGTTTTTTTTACATAAAATGTCACACTTTACACCAAACAAAAACTCAATGCAGTGATGTTAACATGCCACTGTCTTCCAACGGATTAAGAGACAGCAAGGCAGAAAGACTCAAATTAACTGTGTTAAAAAGGACACTGTTAAATACTGTCAAGTAGTTTAACTATCCAGGCAGCCACCCATCCAGAAGGACCATAAAAGCAAACCAATGCTTTTAACAGAGCTGTAAGAATATAGTTACATGTGCTGTTACATGAATACAAATTGTGAAAGTACAAAGTCCTTAGTGACTGTGCCTTGGGACTCCATAGAGATTGTGCCTTGGGAAACAAATGGGCCAAGGAAAATAAAATCAAACAAAGAATGAATTGAAAACTAGAGGTTAAAGGATACTATATATGAACAATGGAAATTTTATAAAACACAAAATTCTAAAACATCAAATACTCCACACTGTCCCTTTAACATATATAAAAAAGGGGCACAAATAATGTTTTTGTTTTTAAAATTCTTTTGACAACTTAATAGTCAGTTCTAATAGTAAAAATCAATTTACTAGAATTAAGCCAGTGTTCTTGACACCCACTGGGCCAAGAGCATTAAAAAAAAAACCCAAAATGAAACGCCAACAAACATAGCTAAAGACAAAACTGAATACAACAAAAGAAGACCCAAACTAAACATACATCCAATCAGGAAAACATTACACAAACACCCTGAAAAGAGTCTAGCTGTTGCAATTAAGTGGCATCCCCATTACCTAAAAAACGGTGGTGGCTTTTTTTTTCCAGTTTGCCACTAATCGACATTCTGGTGATACCTTAAGTATTATTTGGTCCAATCTGAAGTAACTCTTGTTTTAATTAAAAGTGATCTAATGAAATTGCAGTATTATAATAGCATCTGGGCAAATTTAGCAAATACACTTCTGTCTAGATAAAATTTATTAAATACAGATGCCTTTTTATTTACCAAGGCACTCCTCTCCCACTCATCTTTATTTTTAATAAAGACTTGATTATAGATTTGCCATGGCCAGTGGACCTATCCAGTCAGTTGCATGTTTCAGCGCCCTTTGGCACAGGGGCTACACTTATTACACACAGATATGCATCGCTCACAACTACTGAGAAAATGTGATGGAGCTGGGAAATATAAAACATCAAGAACAATGCAAAACAAAGTGACTACTGCTGTCTATGACTTCAAGTTCTTTAAGGGAAAAAAAAAATCTAAAAATAAATGCACTGTTCAAAGTATTTTTAAAAATACAACAATATCTATATTTCATGAAGAGTAATGTTAGTTTTTCCCTAGCTGTCTTTTAAGATGTTTTTGCTCCACCTCAGTTGTTACTCAATGGTGATCAAATTAAGAGAAATGTTCCTCAAAAAGTCACGGCTCTAGGCTCTGCATTCACTTGTGTCTAACATGACACGCACAGGCTGGATGTAATTTAGATGTTCCAGTTTTGTTAACTATAACTGTTAATAGCACAGTGTTATACAAAGTTTTGCACAGCATATGTGAAGGTATGTATACTATATGCAATTCAGATATTAACACTACATTTGAAGGACAGTTTAGCATATAGGTGTTAAGAACACAGCAGAAGGAGAAAGCCTACCGCTCAGAAGCACAATTTCAGAGTGCGTCTGCACCAGAGTCCTCTGTCACTGTGCTGTGTGATTTTGACATTGCAGTGGGCCGTTTTATATGCCTGTGATTTATAAATTAGCTTTTATTTCCATAATTTAAGATGGCAGACAGAATTAAGGGGAGTATGGCAGCAGTACAAAAATCTTGATTAGAAAAATCAAACTAGAGGATCTAAAGTGAATTTTTTAATCTCTTAAATTTACGTGACTCCTGTGAAATGAAGATAATACCCACTCTAACATAATTATTGCCCCTAATGCCCCAATGTATAATAGTCTGTATGAATCAATAATTCACATCCTTTAAAACAGTTATTGCTTAAGCAAACCATTCAGAGTAGATTATTAGTCATGGGCTACGTTGCTAGATAGAAACATACTGAAAAAGTCAGACTACACGTGAATGAGCCTTTCATTTCACTCATAAACCAACATAAATACACGATCAAAAGGGCACCAGGTTCATAGCAGCTAACACCCTAAACCAACTCTGAAGCATCAAGATTTGATTTCTTAAAACAAATCTGTTCCTTTTTGTATTTTCTTTTTAAAATTAAGGCAATGAAATGGCTACAGTTCCTAAAGTTCTTGTTATGGAACAAAAATATACACGTTTCAGGCATCGGAGTATGATTAGAGACCTCTATTACATGAAACCTGCAACACCAGGTTGATGTTACAAAAAAGAAAGAGAGTGAGAGCATGTGCTAAAAAGAAGCCAACAAACACCTGGTGTTTCTTCCTTCCCGATGAAGTACAAACCTAATCACCAAAGGGAGGAAAAGTCTGAAAGCACAAGACCTCTTAAGAGTTTTCAATGTCTTTTGCATTGATTCAAAACTTTTGGGGTGGCAGAGGGGAGGAGCTTATTAAAATGAAGAATCCAAGGTCCAGCAAAAAGAAACTCTGATTCTGAGGTTCTACACGTGGGCCCAAGAATCCACCTTTTCAACCAGCTCCTCAAGTGATGCAGGTGATCTACGGACATTGTTTTGAGAAACACTGCCAAACATATATCCATCTAATATTTAGTAACAAAAATTCTAAACTTTGGCTAGCCACCTAATGTTTTGATAAAGGGGGAAAAGGCACTGAATATGTATTCCATGGTGCCCATATCTGTTTGCACATATATGGAATTTCGTTTTGAAAATTTTACATCACCGTTCAAAATCTACAAGACATATCTGACAAATTGTGGCTAACACCTAACAGCAGAAGCTGATTCAAAGTTGACCTCTCCTGTTTCACGGCATTACACATCAAGCATTCAGGATCTCCAAAATCCAAAATGGCCAAAGAACTGAAGAACAGGACAAGACTCAAGTCAACTTATAGCAATTCAGTGCACTTTGCAGAAAGGATCTAATTAAGCACAAAGTTTTGTTGTTTATTTTACACAAAGGAGACCACCAACATTTGCCATAAATTCTTCTAAACTCTTTAGGAAGGCCACCTTCTGCTTCCGATCCAGCGTGGGAGGAGTGCTGCTTGCAGTGAGCTTATTGAAGGCATCTGCTAATCTCTGATAAATAACTGGGTCTTGTTGACTTGACAGTAATGTTTCAACCAATTCAGAATATTCAGCCTATTGAAGAGACAAAGTATACATAAGAACACTTATCTTCCTCAAATATCACACAAGTAGATCGTATCAGTTACTGGATTGTGGGATTCTAAAAAGCAGGGTCTAACAGCTCTTTTTAATAGTTATTTATTCAAAGTTCACTATATTCTAGGTACAGTTCCAATCTTTTACATTAAAAACTCACTTTTTATAGCAATCCTATGCAGTAGGTATTGTTTATATTCCTGTTTTACAGATAGAAATTCTTACATACAGTGAGATTATGTAATATGTCCAAGATCACATTGCCTTTAAAAAGCAAGAATCCAGGCCATTTGGCTCCAGAGCCCATGTGACTACCAATTTTGTTGTGTTGCCTCTTCTGTGTTTTCAAAGCACATTATTTATATTTATTTTGCATTTTATACATAACCTAAGTCTGCAACCTGACTTTCAACAGCTTCCCAGAGGTTTATATAGACCTCGTCAACATAGTTCTGAGGACAGCAGATCCCCACAAATACAGACAGGAGTCATTTGGAAGAAGATGGCATAGTGGGAGGCGTGTATTTCAGCCCTTTCTCAAAGTGGAAGCAGAACACTCTGAATGTGCAAACGTAGCTCCAAACCTGGTGGCTCTTGGAGAAAAGGTAGGAGAAGGAGCTTAATAAACACAGGAATAGGGGGCGCATGCGTCTATGTGCAGTTTTTCTGCTTTTAATGCCCTCCATGATAAAGCCTTATACAGAGGAGTGAGTGTGGGGTTAAGAGAAACTCAAGCAGGGCAGCTTTCCACAATAAGCTTTCTTGAAAAAAAGCTGGTCTGTTACTATTTTTCATTAGCTTCTTGGGCTGTCACGATAGACCAAAATGGTGAAACCAAATGTTAATGACATTTGGAAAAGAGTAGTAAGGCACAACACCCCACGCCCCCACCCATAAGCATGGAGCCAGGGTGGCTGCCCTAACTGCCTTATCCCCTAAGGGGACAGGCCTACTCACAGGGGACAAGTACCAACTCAAATCATTTCCCTGTTCACAAGAAACAGTAGTGCCTCTGGGACCAGACCAGCAAGATATACTAGCCAATCCCAAGTCCCTGCTCTCTTTTCTACAATGAGTAAATATGTTTTTTAAAAAGGCAATCAGAATGTAATGGCTTACATATGTGGGGACAAGAAGCCTATCTCCCTAGTAAGCAACAAGGAAGTCAAATGACAGAGAAATGCCACCACCTGAGATGGGCACTATCTGCAGAAAGTGATATCTATAGCAGACAGCAAGAAATGAAGTCCCCCAGCACCTCCAGCATGGGGTGCAGACAGTACAGGAAGTCTGTTGGAAGGGAGTCTTTAAGAAGTATTGAAGACCTCATCAAAATCCTATCTTTTTTAAAAAGGGAAATAAAATCAAACCCTGAGTACCAGCCACAGCAAAGGCTATGGCCTCTATACTTAAAAGAAAAAGCCAAAGCTTCTCTAGCCAATCACTTGATAATGCTGGGCATGGACATGTGCATGGGCATCAGGGCAGCTGGTGGACTGGGAAACAAGCAGCTGATGATCCAATACGAGTCTTTTCACACACATGATGAGCCCCTCCTCTACTGGAGTATGGAAGGGAGACAGGTGAGCTAGCATAACTTTTCTTCTGTTATATTACCCCCCAATCAGTGAGTGCTTCAGAGTCTAAAAGCTCAAAAAAAAATTACACTGTTTTCCACAATGTAATATGAAGTAATACACTGTTGTTTTCCAGGCTTTCTGAGGAAGATTCCTCTGGGTCCCCAGTCTCATTCATCCCGTTTCACTTATAAAACTGTGAGTTCCTCAAGGACAGAAACCATGTCTCCATTATTCTTTCATGTCTGTTTCTTGGTTCCTAGTACAGTTGTTCAAGGACAAGCTTTAGGGCAGTGATCAATGCAAAGGATGGTTCATAACGGTGCAGAAGGGAAAATAAATGCTATTAACTGACATATAGCTTGTCAAATAAACACAAAATATAAAGTTAGAGCTACTGAGGAAGTGAAGAAATACAGCCTCAATGAAAGAGAACTAAAGAAATGAGTCACAGATCCTCTAAGAATTCCAAGTATCAATGGCCCATTACGTCTAAACAATGTCCTTGCTAAATGGAACGAGAAGAGTCCCAGGAAGAGACACGCATGCGGTACCTGATGCAAGCACACCAATGTGTAGAAAGCTTCTCCAGCCGCAGTGGTCATCTCTGTGTTGTGCTTTTGCAAAACCAGCATATCAAAAACCAGCTGAAAGTACATAATAAAACCTCTAAATAAAGACAGATGATGATCATATAATCCTACAGCCCCACCCCATTCCAAAAAAGAAAAAGAGAGGGGTAATAGTTTGTATTATTTGTTAAACAAATCTGAAAATAAAAGAAAAGAGTTTTAAAAAATAGGATAATATACAGATGTTATTACTTGCTCTGGTATACAAAATAATCAAATTATCAAATTCCCCGTTATATTTACCACATAAATTTTTAAGAACACAAAATACAAGTGGAGAAAAGTGTGTCCAGGAAGTTGACCTCCAGAAAACACAGTAAACAGAAAGTAATTATTTCCTCCTCTATGAAAGCATTTCCTCATTTGAAGGAAGCTTTATGTGCACTGACTGTCCTTATCAAAACAGACGATTTCATGACATGCCACCCAAACACCTTACCTTAAGAAAGTGCCGTGTTGCTAGAAAAAGTGGTGAATCTGTTTCTTGTGCTTTTGCACACTGTTCAGCTAATGGTGTCAAAGCTTCCAGGCAAAGCTGGCAAACCTCTGAACTCATTCTGATCATGAAGGTCAAAGAACAAACCAGAGTAGAGATACTTGACTTATGACACATAAAAAAATTACAGCTATTATCAAATGGATGACTCTTTCTAGAAATGAACACAGATAAGTGACTATACTAGTGTGCAATATGTTTTCACTGAGTTATATGAAAAAAGATTTCCAGTGTTTTTAAGAGGATCCATAAGTGTCTGGGGTCTGGGACTGGAGATTTCTAATGTGTTTCTGATTATAATACATACATCTGATAAAAAGCCATATTATTCTCTCCTCTCAGGCCGCTAAGATCAGAGACTCAGCAACAGTGTATGACATTACCAGGGCACTTAATGAAAGAGTGATTTTGGGACCAGGGGCCAAATGCTGCTGGGATCTGTGAAAGGAGGACAAGATGAAGCAAAATAATGAAAGAAATACAGAATTAGGGCGATTATAGAGATGACTACTTTTTTAAGAAAGAAAAGTGAACCACAAAAGAAAAAATAAAAATACAAATTTTAAAAACTTTTCTTCAGGTAAGATCTTTCCCCCCAAGTGACAAGTAATAAAGATGTTCATTTAAAGGATATGATGTCATTCCTAGTTCTAGAGAGTACATCAGACTTTTAAAAAGATCTTCAGGAAGCTGTGGTATTTTTTCAGGAAAAATCTCACAGATAAATGTGATTAATTTGTAGTACTGATTACAAAGGGTTGGAAACTGAAAGAGAAATATTAAATATTTAGATGCCTAATGGTATCTAATTTCTGCTTTCCTTAGTGCAATAAAACAAATAACTGACAAGCTTCTAAGTATAATGATTTCTTCAAAACACATACAAGATATAGAAAACATGAAGACCTAATTAAATGTAAATATAAGTTACAATAAAGGGAATATTTTAGCAACTAACATGAAAGTAATACATAGGAGAAACAATTATCTTTTGGACAGTTAATAAAAGCTAAAGCCAATTCCAGATATTCTGCGTTTACTTTGAAAAAGCAGCCAAATCTCAAATTATTAAATGACCTATCAATAAAAACCTTTTGTAAATGTGTTTATTTGCATTCAGGCATGTTGGAAAAATACAAGAATGTAATACAAATTGTTAAGATTATGCACAGAACAGAGTATTCAGTCCTTCACACTTCCAAAATACGTTCTCTGGTTGGACAGTCATGGAGAACTGAGGTAAAAAGTAGGTAATCTACAGTTTAACCTCACTTAAGAAAATGCACATCTAAATGTTTAATGGTTTAGTCAATTAAAAAAAACCCCAAACCAAAAACCCTAAAAGCGAATCAACAGTTTACTAAACTTCCCCATGCTACTGGCTGCTGCATGAATACCTAGCTCATGCATCATCAGAATCCTTTCCAGTAGAGACATTCTTAAGGAGAGAAGCACGTGGTCACATCCTGCTATGTGGGAACCTAACAGCACTCTTACTCTTATACTCAACTTCCAAACGCTTCTCAATCTCTCCTTTCTTCCCTCCTACTACCTCTCTTTTCCTCTCCCACTCTATCTGTGCATGCATACACAGATGTGTACGGGAGTGCATGCATGGACATGCACAGACAGACACACACACACTCCTCCCTCTTCCTCTCCGTCCTTGTCTTTGTCCCCACCCTTATCCCCCTATGACAACTCATGAAAAGAGACTCCCCTCCCCTATGGTATTTAGGGAAAGAAGAAAGGGCAGCCTCATCACCACCACACCCTCAATACTGACTGGTGAAACCAAGGCATTACGTGGTCAGAATGTATAAAAATTTAAAAACTATATTAGTCTTGGTTTCTTACCATCCCTTTTCTACATGAAGTAGCTTAGAAAATGCCTTCCATTGCTCAATCCCTCAACCTGAGAATTTTCTAACCTCAAAAAGTATCAGTGGAATACACCTAAGCATATAACTTACTTTATTTGCTTAATGACAAATTACGAGTGAATCAAAACTGCTAACATTAGAACTCAGTTTCTAAAAGAACTAGGTTTTTTCCATCACTAATGTATCAGTAAACAAAGGACTCTGGGGCAGTATTAAGCGAGGGCCTGTGTACTGAACTACGTGTACATGCAGAGTGTGAATAACATGTAATAGCAAGGAAAAGTTTTATTTTCATGTGTACTTAACAGGTAAGCAGATACTTAAACCTCCCTAATTAAATCAGAGGTATATTTCTGTCTTAACTATCTTTAAACTTTGAGCATCTAGAGTTTTAAGGTTCACATTCACTTTCTTCAATTACCTTCAAAAGATCTTGCGACATCAAGGGCAGAATTAGGTTTACTCCATATAAAACAACATCAGCTGCTGACACAGATCTGTTTGCCGCTTGCCCCGGCTCATGTCCTCTAAACACTTCATCTATTAAAATAAAAATGCAATCTTATAGTTGTAACATCAATAAACCTACAAAGTTGCATATATTCTACCCTCAGGAAAGTGAAAATAGACTCAAACTCCTAAGCCAAAATAAATCTATGAGTGGATAATAAAGACATCTGGTAAGTCTTGCCCTGGGTCATCCTTTGTATTTTATTTTTTAGGGTCTCTGAGACTTGAAGCAGATATTCTGTGTTTCTACATTATTACAGATACTCTGTGTTTACATTACTATTCTATAACGATGAAAGTAAAACTAATGCTTAATCAATGCTTTAAAAAGTAAAATCTACTCCACTGAAACATGTACTATGAGTTAAATAATTTCCACAGTAATATTTATTTTATCATGTAGGTGTGTGGAATTTTTCTAAGCTGAAAAAGAATGGGTGAAAATATAGAAATTAAAATGTTACATAAAAAAGAAAGTAGTTAAAAAAAAAGCTACCAACATGACAAAGGGTTATCTTTAATCTATAAAGAATGCATATAAATTAATAAGAATCCTAAGACCTAAATAGATAAGTGAGCAAAATCTATAAACAAACATCTAACAAAACCACAAACCCAATGAAAAACAGTTCATTCTAAGCATTACTCAGGCAATGCAAATTTTTAAATTTTTTAAAGATACTACTTCTGATGCATTAAATTAAAAATGACTTTTAAATGATAACATTTAAATGTTGGTAAGGATATAGTGTGATAGTTACCCTCAAAAGCAATATATTAAGAGCCTTTTGAGCATTGTATATACAAAGGACAGAATCAGAAATTCAGAGATTCATCCACAGAAGTGACCACTGCATCACTATTTATAACAACAAAATTGTAAACATTCCAGATGTCCAATATTAGGGAAACAGGTTAAAGTCCAAAATGTGGTATATCATGCAGCCATCAAAAAGTCACGAAAAATTTTAATGACAAGGGAAAGACTAACAATACATTAATGAAAAAGGCAGAATAAAACTTATATTTGAGTGTTATCACAAAGAAAATTGTACAAAATAACCAAAAGAGAAATTTCTAAAATGCAATTTATAGTTTGATTCTGGATTATGTCAATGTATGGGTGATTTTTCTGTCTTTGTATTTAAAATTTTTTCTAAGAACATATTACTTTCATAACAACAACAAAAAAATGTAAAATGGGGTAAAAAAAAAAAAAAAGCATTTCTACTTAAAAAGCACTTTTTCAGCCTAATTCTGAACTTCTCCCCAGGAGTCTCAGTTCTAGTTGGAAGAATTTCATTTTCCAAAGCCGGGCACTGGGGAACATGGATTCCACTCAGTAGGCAGCCCGGGCCTGCTCTGGAGCTGCAGGAGGCTAGTCTTTGAGCTCAGCCACAGCTGCTGGGTCTCTCTCCTAACAAGCCAGGGCTCTCGGGCCCTGTAAAGGCTGGCCCGGCTTGAACGCTTGGGACTGACTCAGCTCTCTAGTCACGAGCTCTGCGAAGGATTCACGAACATAGCGCAGAAGCCCATTTCCAGTTATGCTTTAAATATCTCACCTAGTATGTTAATTTTATTTCATAATATTCAAAATATTTTTGGGGCCAGCCTGGTGGCATAGTGGTTAAGCGCGCACACTCTATTGCAGTGGCCCGGGGTTTGCAGGTTCGGATCCCGGGCACGCACCAATGCGCCACTTGTCAAGCCATGCTGTGGCGATGTCGCATATAAAGTAGAGGAAGATGGGCACAGATGTTAGCCCAGGGCCAGTCTTCCTCAGCAAAAAGAGGAGGATTGGCAACAGATGTCAGCTCAGGGCTGATCTTCCTCACCAAAAACAAAACAAAAAAAAAACAAAATATTTTCTATTTTTATCTCATATCTTTATTTTAAAATAATTACTTAAAAATATTATCTTCCTCTATATCATCGATTTTATCAGCCAATGCTGTTTATCATTTTCTATTTTAATTGTCTTCATTTTTCTTTCTTCTAAATTTCAACCCTACCTACCCTCATTTTATTCTTTTTCCCCTTATTTTGTACTTTCAATCCTGAGCATTTTAGTCTCAATTTCTTTTCTTACTGTTTTATTATGATTTTAATTTTTTTGCTTTTTTTATTTTGAAGACCTCCCTCTCAACTGTTTACCTTTATTGTTTGTTCTACAATTTGTTCTTAGAATGGCAGGCAGGAGGAAGTGCAATTTGTGCCATAAACCTGGGAGACTGAAAGGGCTTTTTCCCCCCCAATGCCTTTAATAGCTCTTCCATCCCTTTCAATATTAGTTCTTAACTTTGAGTCAGATTCCTCAAGGTACAGGACTCTCAACCTGGGTCCTCACACCCCTGGAAAGTCTTTCGAAGAGTTCCCAAGAGTCCACAAATCAACTAATACAGTATGTGAAACTCTGTGGGGTTGGTATAACATAATTTTCAAGGGAAAGGCTCAGTAACTACTTCAGATTTTAAAGGCACCTCTGATCTAGAAAAGGTTAAGAACTTCTGGATTAAGAAGTAACAACCTGAAGGAATCAGAAAACATGAAAATGACACTTGGGTAAGCAGCTGGGCCTAGAAAAAGGGCAGCAGCTGAGGCTTTGGTATAGAAAGAATTCCCTGAGAGAAAGTGCAGGGCAGTGCTTTTCAAACCATTTTCCCTAGGTACCCCTAGTTAACTGTGAAGGAGAGTAAACCTTCTAGACTGTGAAGCTGATGGTACCTAGGACAGGGCAGACACTGAAAAAAGACATTGTTCAGTGAATAAGGAAAATGAACCAATAAAGGAAACAGAGAAAAAACAATCTCAAGTATTGGGAGTAATGAGTAAAGTGTAATGTTACAGCATCCAAATTAGAAAGAGTATCTTAGAAGGAAGAAGTCAAAAGAGTCCACTACCACAAATATCTGCACAACACATGAAAGAAGCTGCTAGATAGGATTCGTTTTTCTCTTAGAAAACAAGATCCCTTTTGTTTTAAGGCAAAGTTGGCAGTAGGGTAAGAGGCAGGTGAAGGAAAAATAAACAGATAAATGAGGTTTCAGTTACTGATAAAGTTCTTGCCTATAATAACAGCTATCTTTTACCTATTGCTTGCCAGGCACAATGCTAAGCACCAGAGATACTTTATAGCTAATGCTTGAAACAGTTTGAAAGGCATTTATTATCATACTCATTTTCACAGTTAGTAAAGGCACAGAAAGTCTAATTGATGTCTCCAACATCATGCTGTTGGTGAGCCACCAGGTTAGGTCTTCAAGTGTGGCTTGTCAGCTCCAGAGTTAGTGTTTCCCACCCCAATAAGAGTTCCAAAGCTGGACTCTGGAAAGGGCTAGGGTTTTCTGGGGTGGCCACTTCAGAGGATACTGAGGAATGATTATAGTCAATAAAGCATAACTCTGAAGAGACTGGCCTCTGAAGTCAAATGCTGGGATGTGAATCCCAGTCCTGCAACTTACTATCTACCTGCGGGCAAATGACATAACAGCTCTGTGCCTGTTTCCTCATCTATAAAATTAGCGTAACAATGGTACCTACTTTGTGCTGTTGTGATACACAGTGCTTGGCATTTAGTAAGAACCGAATTAACTGAAGACATTATTACTATCATTCTTATAACAGGAAAGCCAAGCAGAAGGGCTAGTGGTGCCACTCTCACTTCAATCAAAGAGATCGACTTTCATCTACAGTCATGGGCTGCACAATGACGTTTCAGTCAACAACGGACCGCAAACATGACAGTGGTCCTAAAAGGTTAGTATCATATAGCCTAGGTGTGTATAGGCTATACCATCTAGGTTTGTGTAAGTATACTCTATAGTGTTCGCACAATGATGAAATTGCCTAATGATGCATTTCTCAGAATGCACCCCAGTCATTAAGTGAAGCATGACTGTATTTTGTAAACTGAACGTTCTCATGGTATTCCACTTAATGAAAACATTCCTTTGCTTTAATAAAAACAACAATAACAAAGTTTAAAAACCATCACATGACACCTTACCTGTATCACTGAAATCTATGAATTCTTTTGATAGGAGGTTAGTAAGAAGTTCCATAATGAGAAGCAGGTCTTGGTATTGCTCTTCCTCCGCTGTAACATCTATTCTTTGCCGTCCTAAATTATTCTTAGAATATACTTGCAACAAAGTAAGGCAAGCTTCATACAAGTTCATAGCTTTGGACTGTAAGAAAGCATGCATAAATTATGCTACTAGGCAGAACCTAGCTGGGAAACAAATATAAATATTAAAGAAATTTAAAAATATAACCTAATAAATTTACTCTGAATTCCAATAGTAGCTCTATTTGCTTTAAAGTATACTAAAACATTAACAAAAAGGAAAAAGATTACAGATATGTTTAAAATAGCAGTTTTCTAACAATAAAATTTGACATCCAATTTTTTTGTTCATTTGATAATACATATCAGGAAGATGATAAGATTTTGGCAACAGAATTGCTTTACTTATCCTGTTCAACTTCCTGTATAACATTTATTATTTTAAGATTTAAAATTGTTTTATTTGCAAAAGCACAAAGTACAAAACAGTGGTCTTAAATGTTAGAATAAATGGCACTGGCCTGCCCACTCAGTAATGCATCGGTGACTATATTTATATATTGATAAAATATAACCTTACTTTTGAGCAGGTTTCTTTGCTCTAACAAAAAAAAATTACAAATCAGGAACCTATATTAAATGGTTTAGAATAAGATTTATACTAATCTGCTAACAAATACAAATACATTCCTTTAAGGCTGTTTTAAAACAGCTTTCTAAATACAATAGTCTCCCCCTTATCCAAGGAAGATACATTCCAAGACCCCCAGTGGATGCCCGAAACCATTGACAGCCCTCTAATGCAATCGACGCAATAAGGAGCCAGTTGATCTGATGACAGTCGACTGATAACCAAAATGGCTACTAAGTGACTAATGGGTGGATGGCATATACAGAGTGGATATACTGGACAAAGGGATGATTCACGTCCTAGGCTACACAGGGCAGAATGGGGTGGGAAGTTGTGAGATTTCATCATGCTACTCAGAACAGCGTGCAATTTAAAATTTATTGCTCATTTCTGGAATTTTCCATTTAATATTTAGAACTGCAGCTGGACCGCAGGTAAATGAACCTGTGAAGAGCAAAACCTAGGATGAGGAGAACTAGTGTAATTTAATGGGACAAAAATACTATCTTTGCTTACTGAATATAAGAGAATTTAGTGTGTCTAAACATTCAACTGATTTACAAAGCAAAGACACAAATTGCCATTTAAAATTTTAAGCCTTAGGGTTCTATCACAGAAACTGGTTAAAATTTTCTACCAGAATCCATTCGTTTTATCATATTCCTCGTTTGAATGAGTTTAATTGAATAACACATCAAGCCAAAGAAATTACTATTATTAACACATTTTTCGGGGCTTTTTTGGTGAGGAAGATTAGCCCTGAGCTAACATCTGTTGCCAATCCTCCTCTTTTTGCTGAGGAAGATTGGCCCTGGGCTAACATCTGTGCCCATCTTCCTCTACTTTATATGGGACGCCGCTACAGCATGGCTTGATGAGTGGTGCGTAGGTCCGCACCCAGGATCCAAATCTGCAAACCCTGGGCTGCCAAAGCAGAGTGCACGAACTTAACCACTGTGCCACCAGGCCAGCCCCACTTTAAGTTTTAATCTTGATAGGATAAAATCAGAAAGTGCTTACCTCTCCAAGATAGCATATCTGTTTATGTGCAACTTCAACAAAAACTTCTATTATGAGATTGACAGTCTCTGGGGTATTTTTATAAACTTCCATCAATCCAATGCAATTGGTAAGGAAATCCATTAAAAAATTAAACAGGATTGCTACGTTGTCAATCTGGGTAGCCTCAGCAATGCCGCAAAGGGCCTCCAGTGTGGCAGTGATTTCCTGTTTGACTTCCTCTTGCTGACACATCTGCTGAAAGTTTTCTTGATTTATCACTCTTAAGAACCGCTGCTGAAGTGGCTGAAGAACCTACAAAAATAAAGCATAAATTTTCTAAAAGTTTGATTCACATGCTTTATTTATTTCTTCAACTTTATTTCCTCAACTTGGATAAATATTCACTTTCCAAAACATTTCTTTGTGTTTGTTTTTTTTGAGGAAGACTGGTCCTGAGCTAACATCTGTTGCCAGTCTTCCTCTTTTTCTTTTTTCTCCCCAAAGCCCCAGTACACAGTTGTATATCCTAGTTGTAGGTCCTTTTAGTTCTTCTATGTGGGACGCCACCTCAGCACGGCTTGATGAGCAGTGAGTAGGTCCGTGCCCAGGATCTGAACCAGTGACCCCCGGGCCGCCGAAGCAGAACGTGTGAACTTAACCGCTACGCCACCAGGCAGTCTCCCCAAAACATTTCTAATTGTTGGAGGCAGAAAAAGCACAGAAAACAAAGAATATCTGAACCACACATTACATTGTCCATTTTGAGGGTCACCATAACTTCTGGCATACATAAAGAAATAACACATAGTACATGAAAAGATGCTCAACGTCACTAGTCAGTGGGGAAATGCAAATTAAAACCACAATAAGATACTATTTCAGACCTGTTAGAATGTACGATCATCAAAAACACAAGAGATAAATACTGGCAAGGAGGTGGAGAAAAGGGAACCCTTGTGCACTGTTGGAGGGAATGTAAACTAATACAGCCACTATGGAAAACCGTATGGAGGATCCTCAAAAAATTAAAAACAGAACTACCATATGATCCAGCAATTCCACATCTAGGAATATATCCAAAGGAGACAAAAAGATTAAATTGAAAAGATATCCGCCCCACCGTGTTCACAGCAGCATTATTTTGTTAAAAAGGAGACAATGTACACAGAAATAGAAATATAATGATGTACACCTGAAATTTATATAATGTTATTAACTCAACAAAATAAAGAATGGATGAATAAATAAACAGAAAAGGAGTCAACAGGCCCCAAATGGAGTCACTTTTGCTAAGCTCCACCAAAACTTACTACCTAACCTAACTGCAATTTCAACCTTCCCTTGAATGTGACCTTTAACCATCCAACCTGGAATTTCCTGGTCAGCACCAGTGAGATAATCCACTGAGAGACCCCTTCCGTTTTCCTTAGGAAGGCAACCTTGCCGAAAACAATGCATTCTACACTAATAATTTCCTTTTTTCTGCTCCCTTTAAAAACCTTTCCTTTTCTGCAGCTCAAGAGAGCTCTCTATTTGCTAGATGGGATGCTGCCCAATTCATGAATCATTTAATAAAGCCAATTTGATCTTTAAATTTACTCAGTTGAATTTTTGTTATTTAACATTTACAGCAGCCATGACATGGAAACATGCCCATCGACAGATGAATGGATAAAGAAGTTGTGGTGTATATATACACACAATGGAATATTATTCAGCCATAAAAAAAAAAATGAGGAAATCCTGCCATTTGTGACAACATAGATAAACTTTGAGGGCATTATGCTAAGTGAAGTAAGTCAGAGAGAGAAAGACAAATACTGTGTGATCTCACCTATATGTGGAATCTAAAAACAACAAAACACAAAAACAAAGTCATAGAAAAAGACTTGTGGTTACCAGAAGAAGGAGGTGGGGGGAGAGGGAATTGGAGGAAGGTAGTCAAAAGGTACAAACTTCCAGTTATAAGATAAATAAGTACTAGGGATGTCATGTACAACATGATGACTATATTTAACACTGCTGGATGATGCATATGAAAGTTGTTATTAACACAAGGAAAAAACTTTTTTTGCTTTTTCTTTTCATTGCATCTATATGAGATGATAGATGCTAACTTATTGTGGTAGTCATTTCATAATATATATATAAGTCAAACTATCATGCTGTGCACCTTAAACTTCTACAGTGATGTATGTCAATTACATCTCAATAAAACTAGGGAAAAAAAAGAAAATTATTATTTATGGAAAAGCACATAAATGCATGCCATCATCTCACTTCCTTAAGTAATTTAGGTTCAAAAAAGAAAAAGAGGGCTGGCCCCGTGGCTTAGCGGTTAAGTGCTCGCGCTCCGCTGCTGAAGGCCCGGGTTCGGATCCCGGGCGCACGCCGAGGCACCGCTTCTCTGGCCATGCTGGGGCCGTGTCCCACATGCAGCGGCTGGAAGGATGTGCAGCCATGACATGCAACTATCTGCTGGGGCTTTGGGAGAAAAATAAATAAATAAAAAATTAAAAAAAAAAAAAAGAAAAGAAAAAGAAATAACACAAAGCACAGAATACGACTTCCTCAATGCCATTCACAGAATTCTGCTACTATCCTCATCTCTTTCCAACTGATTAGCTAAAAAAAAATTAAGCCTCCACAGTAAGGATTAGCAAACTTTTTTCTATAAAGGACCAGAGGGTAAATATTTTAGACTTTGTAGGACACACCATCTCTGGCCCAACTACTCAATTACAACTGCATTATAGTGCAGAAACAAGATGTAAATGTTTGAGCATGACTGTGTTTCAATAAAACTTTATTTCATACAAAACAGAGCAGGCCAGATTTGGTTTGTGGGCTGCAGCTGGCCAACCTCCTTCCTATAAAATCAAGAACAACACAAAGTTCTCGCCTGATTTTTTCCTTTCCAATTCCTCTTGGCATAGAACATAACTTCAGATGATCAGTCCTGCCCTGAGTATAAGAGTAAATTATGAAGATAATTCTATTTAAAGCTATACATATGATAATACAATTATTTAAACTATAAATACATGGTCAGCCTGGTTTTCCTTCTGGTTCTAAAGTCACAGACAACTGCTTACTTCTGTTACTGTGCCCCTTCTCAGACATCAAGAGTACTCTAGTCACAAGGATTACAGGCTGGCAACCTACATATACTGGTGACTCTTGGTTCTTGATTTAAAGCTTATTATTTAAGGCAATGTGTCCATGGGGGTTGTTATGGGTTGAATATGTCCCCCAAAATTGATATGTTGAAGCCCAACTCCCAGTAAAACTCAGCACATGGGCTTATTTGGAAATAGGGTTGTCTCAGATGTAATTAGTTAAATTAAGATAAGGTCATCAGGATGAGTTCCGAATCCAGTATGACGGGTGGGTGTCCTTACAAATAGGGGAAATTTGGACACAGACATGCACACATGGAGAATGTCATGTGAAGATGAAGGCAGAGATCAGGGTGATGCTTCTACAAGCTAAGGAATGCCAGATTGCCAGCAAACCACCAGAAGCTTGGGGAGAGGCCCGGAACAGATTCTCCCTCATGCCCTTAAAAACGAACCAACCCTACCAACACCTTGATCTCAGACTTCTAGCCTATAGAACTGCAAGACGATAACTTTCTGCTATTACAGCAGCCCTAGCAAACTAATACAATGGCTAATATGCATCTCCTTGTTCAAGATAAGGGAAAATTTCACTCATTCTTTTTTTTTTGTGTGTGAGGAAGATCAGCCCTGAGCTAACATCCATGCTAATCCTCCTCCTTTTGCTAAGGAAGACCGGCTCTGAGCTAACATCTATTGCCAATCCTCCTCCTTTTTTTATTTTTCCCCCAAAGCCCCAGTAGATAGTTGTACGTCATAGTTGCACATCCTTCTAGTTGCCGTATGTGGGACTCGGCCTCAGCATGGCCGGAGAAGCGGTGCGTCAGTGCATGCCTGGAATCAGAATCCAGGCCACCAGTAGTGGAGCGCGAGCACTTAACCGCTAAGCCACGAGGCCGGCCCAAGATTTCACTGATTCCTAATGAAGAATTAATATACCAGTTCAGGCTCTAATTTGGGTTGCAGAAAAATGTGCCTAAACCTCGGAACACTTGATAATTTCAATGTCATCAGAGCAGATATAGATAAATCATAAGATGATAGTTGTAAAATATAAGCTTCAACCTATTCATTGGGAGGGAAAAATATCAGAAAAGCTATGACTGAAATGTTTATGTCCCCACAGACTATTTTATGGCAACACATAGCTAAAACAACTACCGGGTTAATGAAGAGAGTGCAATCAAAATAAGGGGAACTGTTACCTCAGTCCAATACTGCTGTTTGGTTTCTGTGTCCATATGTGCAAAACCTCCTAAAACAAGAGCCTTCATCAGTGTTCTCTGCACGGGACTGGACAAGAAATTCAGAGGTGGGCTTCGGCTTGCAAACTGCTTGGCTAAGTTCCACCAGTTTTCACACTGAATTACTAAGTTTGCCCTACAGGCAGAAATAACAAAACATAAGATATATTACTTACATTGGATGCATACTAAGTAAACAAAAATGGAAGGTAACTGGGTTTAATTAATTTTTAAAGTACAGTACAATTTGGTATAGACTTTGGAGTCACAGAAGCTTGTGTTCAAATCCTATTAGTCGTTTGACAATGTAAAATTTATTTAATCTCTCTTAATTATCAGTTTCTTGATCTGTAAAATAGAGATAACAACAGTAATAACAGCCCTAAATCTCATGGCTGAGACTGATGTAATGATTAAATGAGATACTATATATGAAATGCTTGGAATAGTCCCTAGTAAATTGTAAGAATTCCATAAATAGTAGCCAATGACAACAATAACAATAATAACAATCATATTCCTGTGTAGTAAGAAAAATGAAAACATTTTCAGAATTTGTTGCAGAAAGCATTAACAATTTCACTTTGCAAAATTAAATTAAATTAATTATTAATTACTAAATTATCAGTTTTTCTCATCTTTAAAATGGGATAATACTAATAGGATACCTGAAAAATCAAATGAGACTATTCTATATTAAAGTGTTTTTAAAACTATAAATTACGAAATTAAATATATATGTTACTCATAAGATTCTTTGATGCCAAATCCTTGAACAGTCAACGCAATCCTCAACTGTAACACACACACACACACACACACACACACACACACACAGTCTGCCTCTTAGAATCAGCTTACCTTTCTCTTCTTTCCACCAAAGTGACAAGGAGCTGTACAGTATCATTTGCAAGGTCCTGCTCACTACTCCATACTGAGAGGTTACTGATGACTTTTTGTAAGAGGTAGCCAATAATCCACTGAGAACCCTCTGTATCTGCTCCAAATGCTGTACTGAAGGGCAGACTTATCTTAAGAGGGAAAAATTTTTGAAGGTCAGAAAGAAAGATCAGTTGATGCATAGAAAAATAAAACTGAAATTAGCATCTAAATCTGAAGTACCGTTTACTTCACATCAATTTTATAAATGTATTCATTTCCGTAAGTCCAAAAGAGACATCCTCAATCCACTTATGTTTTCCACTGTGATTTTCCTGTTAGCTTTAATTACTCTCATATTATTAACACACTAACATGTTATTTACATCAAAAACAAACAACATAAATTAATCCATTCCCAAATAGTAATCTGTAACTTAATATTGGTTAAAATAAGCTGAATCAAATGATGTGCTCTAAGAAAAGTTATTAAAATAGCATGCCATTCATACAGTTCTTTCAATGCGGAAAACGTTCAAGTCTTAGTTACGTTCTGATGAGAAAATCACCAAGAAAAATGTTCTCATTTCTATAATTGCCATCATCATAAATCCAAATGAAGTTAAACAGTTTACATTCTGACCTGATCATACAGTTTCTCATTCACCAGGAGATAAGTCTTTGCCCAGCGTTTTAGAAACCAAACAATATCTTTGCCCATTTGAGGGCTTAGTAGATGAGTGAGATCTGCTCTTATCGCTCGAGATTCAACTTCTGAAACTCTCAGAACGGCAGACAACAGCCTGTAGGTATAAAGAAGAAGTCTTTTATTTTTTTATGTATTTATTGGTTGTCTAACCATATTTTTTTCTAAAATTGAAGTCCTTTTTTGTTTCTCAACTCTCTGGATTTAGGCCAGGGTATACTTGCAATTTTCATCAATAGGGTTGTAGGCAAAAGCCCCATTTCAGGGCCGGCCCCGTAGTATAGCAGTTAAGTGTGCACGCTCCGCTGCTGGCGGCCAGGGTTCGGATCCCAGGCGCACAGCGATGCACCGCTCGTCAGGCCATGCTGTGGCGGTGTCCCATATAAAGTGGAGGAAGATGGGCACAGATGTTAGCCCAGGGCCAGTCTTCCTCAGCAAAAAAAAAACCAAGGAGGATTGGCATGGATGTTAGGCTCAGGGCTGATCTTCCTCTCACACACACACACACACACACACAAGCCCCACTTCATTGGTGACCTTTCAGGAAGTCGGTAACAAAACAAAGAAAGGGAAGAGAGTCATGGCTAGAGACATCCTTCTGTTGAACCTGTAATTTCATGTGCAAATCTCAGCATTACTGTCTAAAAAATTTTTCAAATTCAAAATGGAGAAATACATAAAATTAAAAGTTCAGAGTAAATGCTAAATTCTTCAGCACTCCATCACTTCTTAAAACTTCCATGGTTAGCACTGTTTGTTTTTATACACTGGTCATTTTATGGTGTAGGATCTGGTAACTGACTTATCTACAATGTATCTTGTCTCTAAATCTGGTAGTCCTATTTATTTCCTAACAAACTTGATTCTTTTTTTTAAAGATTTTATTTATTTATTTTTTTTCCCCCAAAGCCCCAGTAGATAGTTGTATGTCATAGGTGCACATCCCTCTAGTTGCTGTATGTGGGACGCGGCCTCAGCATGGCCGGAGAAGGGGTGCGGCGGTGCATGCCCGGGATCCGAACTCCCGGCCACCAGCAGCGGAGCGCGCGCACTTAACTGCTAAGCCACGGGGCCGGCCCCCAAACTTGATTCTTTTTTTTTTTTAAAGATTTTATTTATTTTATTTTTTGCCCCCAAAGCCCCAGTAGATAGTTGTATGTCATAGCTGCACACCCTTCTAGTTGCTGTATGTGGGACTCGGCCCCAGGATGGACAGAGAAGTGGTGCCTCAATGCGCACCCGGGATCCGAACCCGGGCTGCCAGCATCGCAGCGCGCGCACTTAACCACCAAGCCACAGGGCCGGCCCCCAAACTTGATTCTTAATGGTACTTTAAAATAAAAGTTTTGCTAGAAACATTACCTACATAAGCATGCATATTGTTTCCTACACTATGTAATTCATATGACCGTGTGGTGTTAATAACATAGTATGATATGCAGATAAGTAAAAAAGTCTTTGTTCTGGGGGTGGGAGTAGGAGAGCACATAACCCATATTTAACTTGACTTGAGCTAAAAGGCAAAGAAGCAAAGGATTTAATGGAAAGAACTCATGAAAACACCATTTTATAAATATCAGCACGAAGAGAGGGATTCAAATCATCTGGAGTTGGGCTTCTGCTACTTTCCTTACTGCTTTCAAGATGACTGAAATCATCTCCTTGTAATGAAACCTTATGGATATGTTTCAGTTCTTCATCCAACTGGATGTCTCAGAAGTACTAGATACTGTTGACCACTCTGCCCTTCTGAAATTATTTCTTCCCTTGCACCATACCTCCCATATTTCCCCTAATCTATCTGCTTACTTTTCCCAGTCTATGACCTCCTCCTCTTCCTGTGACCTTCTTTAAATCAGGTGGTTTTTAAGGTTCTACCCTCACAATCTCTTCTTTTCTTGCTCGACACATACTCTTTATACCACCAATGCTCAAACCTTAAAAAACTATTTTAGGGCATATGTGAACAAAAATATCCCAACAACCTCACAATACATGTAAGTTGATGTATTACATTTGTCCCATAAGAATAAATAGTTTTAAATGATATAATTTGCAGCCTAACAGAATTTTAATTAAATAGTTACAGTGACCAAATTTATGCACTGGAATTTAATTATCATAGTGTTTTGATACCCACCATCATCCATTTGAAAAATAAAGAAGTTTTTCTTCAACAGTTGGAAACTTTACATTGTTTGTTTTTCTCCTTAAATTTTTATTTCCATTTCATTTCCCCTTAGAATATTATCCTAATATAATAAATTTTTCTACTCATTATATTGATCACACCATATACCTCTCTGAAACAAATGTCTAGATATCAAAATATATATTTTTAAAATTTCCAATGATCATAAGACCATGTTTAAAAATGTCTTCTGGATTGAATTATCATCACAATACTTATTAGTTCACAAATGAGCAAAATGTAAGTTTAAATAAATTACTAAACATAAAAATAAAATTTTGTGCATCTGAATGATGATTAATCTCTGAATGAGATTAATGTAGGAGGTTTTATTTTTCCAAATTACTTCATGTATCTGTGAAAAAATAGTTATTGTTAGAATGAGATAGAGTTGGGCATAATTTGATTCCTGTTTTTCATTCCAGTAGACATCAACACTGAGAAAACTCACTCATAAATAAATGGAAGGTATTTTTAAAATAGTAAGGTCTTGGAATTATTTGAACTTCTTCCAAGTTATATGCCAAAAATCATTGAAAATGATCATCAAAAATTATTTCTAGGGCAGTTCTGGGGCAGATAAATCTGAGGCTCTCCTGGGAGCTTTTCTTCATTCCTTCCTCTCTCATCACCATACTCAAGCCATCAGCAAAGTCCTGCAGAGTTACCTCTGAAACACCTCTCACATCCGTCTGCCTCTTTCCATCTTCAATCCACTACTACTAATGATGATGCTTCCTAACTTGCCTTGTCATCCTTTAAATCTATCTTCCACAGTATAATCCTTCTAAAACATTTTGATCAGTTCACTTCCCTATTTCAAATCCTTTTCACCATTTTTACTCCTACCTCATTAGCCCAATCCACAGTGTCCATCCCAACCTCTCCGTCTTCATCAAATACCTCTCCCCTCCATGTTTACACATTGGCCATACCAAACTCTCTCTTGCTTTAAGCCATGCTCTCACTTCCAGGCCTTTCCCGTTGCTGTCATCCCTGCCTGGAATACTCTTTGCCTTCCTCTATATGTTGCAAACTCCTATTTATCCCTCAAGTATCTATCAGTTTAAATGACATCTCTTCCAAGAAGCCCTTCCCTTGATCCTCCCCTACCAACAGGTTAGGTGAACTTGGGGGTGCTCCTATATCACTCTTATCACACTTTCATTGTATCCTCAGATCCTGGCACATAGGAGAGTTGAAGAAACAACTGATGAAGACGTCAAAATATTTTTTGAACTGTTGAAATACCCCAATCCTACCTCAATTTCTTAAGCAAGCTATCTAAAGGTATTTTATATTTCAGACAGCACTCACAGTTTCCCATACTTTCCAAATTAATCTTTGATGACCTTTGCATTTCATAAACCAAAAGTCAGCAAATGAGTCAAACAGAGATCTCTCTAACGTCTCATAACCTCTACTATTATCACTCTGGTCTGGACTACCATCATCTTTCTCCAGGATTACAGCAATTAGCCTCTTAAGTGATCTTCCTACTTCCATCTTTGCCCCTGCTGGTTTACTTTCAATGCAGCAGAGTAACCTTTTTAACACACAAGTTACTCTTCTGCTCAAAATGCTACAACAGCACCTCACTTCACTCAAAGCAAAAGCCAAAGATATTCCAAAGGCCTAAAGACTAGATGATTTCTCTCTATTTTCCCCTCTTAGTCCATCTCCTACACAATTCCACCTCACTCTGCTCAACCCACAACGGCAGTTCTTGCTGTTCCTTGAACATGCCAGGCACACTGTAGGGCCTTTACTTGGAATGCTCTTCCCGCAGGCCTTCATGGTGGCAACCTCAAGTCACCTTCTAAATAAAGCCTACACTGGTCGTACTATTTAAAATTACAAACAATTTCTGCAATCCTGACCCCCTCACCCTGCCCAGTTTCTTACCCACACACTTATGGTCTTCTAATTTACTATTTAATTTACTTATTTATTATTGCTCCCCTTCAAGGAGCTTGAAAAGGGGAGCGATTTTTGTCTGTTTTGTTCACTGAGGTTTCCCAAATGCCTAGAATAGTGCCTGGGACATAGGAGGTCCTCAATAATTATTTGTCAAATGACAATTTCTTTAAGAAATATAAACTATTTTTTAAGTCAAACAAGGACTATTTCTCCTATATACCATTCAATTTCACATTAATTCTTTGGACTAAAAAAAAAATGGTGATTTTGTTGTTGTTGTTCCAACCCTCACCTCAACCCTCCATAGTCTGTGCTCTCAGATACCTGAATGTTTTGCTCCCACACTGATGCCTGGGACTAGCAAAAATTGAAAAAGCACTGAAAATACAAGGAAAGCATTCCTGATGGTACTGCCCAGGCAAGAAATATGACAAAGAATATAATATGACAGCACCCTGAAATGAACTGCCTTTGAAATTAACATTCATCATGAATCAAACCAAAGCAAAAGCAATGATTTCCACAGACACTTAATCTAATGCCTATAGTAATCCCAAAAGGAAAAGATAAATTTTTTTCAATAGAGCATTGATACTTTATTTCAACCAAAAGAATGCAACAATAAAGGAAATAAATTCCCAAACATTTCCTTGATATTAGCTTAACAGTTCAGTTTTTTTTAAATCATATTTTCTACTGCACAAGTTTAAATGATATCCATGTATTTTTGCACTAAAATAAAAAGAATGAGGTGGACAGCACTCTGTTTCATTGTTGATTTTGCAACTGACAAAAACCAATGTTATTTCATTACTGATATCTCCGCCTGCTATCTAAATTTAAAGCTAAAGATTCTGAAATTTAAAATACTATTTTCAAATCCACATTTAGGAGGATATTTAGTCCAAATTTATCCCTCCTTAGTTTCGCCATTAAGAATTAATGAAAATTTTGCCATTACTATTAGGAAGATCAAAGTGAATTATATCATTTGGGGCACACTACTGTCTTATAACTTCACCTGACAGGGCTCTCAAGTCCCACACATTCAGGATAAATATTTTCATTTTCTAATATAAGAATCATAGTTTTCCTTAAGAAAGCCATTGAAATGTAGTTTTAGCTTTATGAACAGTAAATACTAGTTAATGTTCATTTGTTTTCTAAGAATCTCATATTCTTTGTTTCTTTCATTTAGGTTGCCTGTACCCACATTAGTACCACATTCTGAGGGACAAGGGATATGTTCATAGAACATTAGATTGAATGTCCCTTCAAAGTCTCATTGTATTTAGAATAATTTTACATTTGTTTTCCTTAGTACTGGATATAGCTGTCAATTCTCACCCGAGTGGCACTGCTTAAATATACTGAGTACTTGCCATCCTTGTTTATTTCAAGGCTTCTCCAAGTTTTATTTTCTTTCATGTATCAGATTTACAACGTGCCTATCACTCCAGTCATCTACCCATCAACTCAGAATTTATAAAACAGTATAAATTACAAGAGCACAGCTATAGAGTTCATATTACCTAATCACAGAATCTGTTCTGTTGTACCCTGGGATGGAAGAAGCCTTTTCTCCTGGAGATCCCAAAATTTGAAGTGTTGTATTAATGTCAACTTCAGATGAATGCTTAATGGAATATTCCATTATTCCTGGAGGTATTAGCGGAGTCTCTCCCTGAGTATCATCAGCTAAGAGGTAGCCTTCAGTTTAAAAAAAATTAAAAATGAACACTTAACAAATCTACATTTATCAAATTGCACTATAAATTTTTTCAGTTTTATTTGATTTATATACATCATATAAATTGATGTAACAGTAAATTATAAATGTTAATATGTTAATTTCAAGTTTGATGAGAAGAAACTTTCTATTTCTCAGATAATAAACTCTCAAAACTACAGGAAAGGACAAAGGACAAATGTTTTATTCACCAATTTTATAATTCATACTGACATGTAGGCTTTTTAATCTACTACCTTTTAATAATTTTCAGTAATATATTCTATAAAGTTAATGAGAATTCTACTATTATCTATATCAAAAGTCAATATTTGGGAACGCCTTTCCAAAAATTAAGATTTTTTTTCCTGATTATTTAAAATACAGAAACACTGATAGTATGGTTACAGAAGAAGACCCTAAAAGTCAGACTGCCTAGATTTGCATTCTGGCTCCAAAAATTAATAGCAGTGTGACCAAGTACTAATTTCTTATAACTCTCTAAGTCTCAGCTTCTTCATTTATATGATGGGGATAATGATAATGACAACAATAATAATAAGTTCTGTGACATATGGTTAGCTACATCCAAATTTCATCCAGTACTATGTATGGACTATTGTTTTTAATATATGAAGCCTCTTTTAAGGCTTAAACTGCTCAGTTGGCAATTACGTTTTAAAAAGAAACACCAAACCAACCTGTAACTAAAATAAGCCAGTGAATATCTTCATACAGATCATCAAGCGTTTTGTTGTCAATAGCGCTTGAACCAGGTGAAGCAAGTAATTGCTGCTGATGTCGTTGTAACTGACCATGGAGCCTTGTTACTCTTTCTTCTAATAAACTAAAAGAGGAAAAAAACCAATAGCTTCATAAAGTTCAACAAGCAAAGACCTAGAACATCTTATATTTCCATTTATTAGACAACATAAATTAAGATGTTAGCGCAAAAACACATATACAAAAATATTTATTATATACACAACTGTTCTCACAGCACTATAGGAATTGTGATTTATTCTTTATGACATAGAATTAAAACACTGCTTTACAAACAATCAAGGTTTACAACAGGCATTTGAAAACTGGTTATTCCAAGGTTTTATTGATATGGGTCAAATCATTTCTCATACCATGTTTTCCATAATCTCTCTGCCATCTATGCTGTAGTGCCTGGGCTCCAAATGTACAAGCCAAGGAATGCAATCATGAGTATGTTTCTGTCCATTTGTTCCAGTGTGCTGGGATACGGGGTGGGGGTGTTTAAAGTCTTTAAACACTTTAAGTGCTCTCCAGGGAATTGAGAATAAAGAATATTTGCTCCATGGGGTTTCTTTGGACTGTGTGTACCTTGTCAGAAGAGGTATACAGTGTTCTGCAGCAATTCTTCCTAGCATTCCTACACTGGCTAGTTGATCTGAAAACTGGTCTCGATCATCTTCTTGAAGTTCACTTATTTCTTCTTCCTCACGAGAGGCCACACCATTGGCAGTCTATTATTGATGAAAGAAATAAAAATGAGGAACTGCACTCCTATGTTCAAATAATCATGCATTTCTATTGCACTGTAAAATAATTTCGGCACTATACATGAAAAGAACTAGATGGAGACAACGTTTGAGTGCACCTGTCTAGGGACATCTATCTAACTATGCTCAGAGCCTTAGCAGTTACCAAAAAGCGGGGGGAAATACAGAAGAGAAAGAAGAAGAGGGCATTACCCCATGGCACATATATGTAAACACAGCTAACTGCATACCCACAACCCACCTCCCACACCAGAGAATTTAACTTCTATCCCTGAAAAGATCTGACATCTTAAGATGCGTGGTCCTTTGGATACAAGAAGTCATTCACATCACTTGACAACTAGGAAGACACAGGTGGGTAAGTGACAACTGAAGAGAAAGGAGGTAACTATAAGCAACATCTCATAAAACATGAACTCATTCAGACAAAAGGGACCACTTTTGCTCTCCAGCTAATGTTCTCAGCAAATCTTCTGAAGGAGCTCATCCTAAATTTCTAGTATTATACAATGCATAATAAGATAAAATAGATGAAACAGAGCCTATGATGAAATAGATTTTTAATTACAACCTGGCTTAAAACTTACCAAATTCCTTGTGCCATCTGGAGCAGCTAGGTGGCACTGAATATAGGAATTGAAAACTTGAACTGCATGTTGGGTAAAAAAGCCTCTATGGAAATGTTTGTCATCTTGGACCAAAGTTAGCCAGGACTCCAGCAATTTGTCATATGCTTCCATGTATACCATGTCATCTTTATCAAGCTAAGAGAAAAGAACATTCATAAAACAGATGGCCAGAGAAATAAGATGGGCATTATAACAAGATTCACATTGCTATACATATAAATAGTTTTATAAGTTTTTCTTTTAACAAAGGTTCTCAAATATTATTCAATAATCTAGCTAACCGAGTTTGTTTTAAAAGTAACTATTCAAACATTACAGTAAAAATGTGTAGGCTTTTTATTCAATTTTCTAAAATCTTTCTAACTTAATCTAAATAATTCTTAGGACAACAGGAATTAATGTTTATGTTTTTAGAAGACCAGCTGTTCAGTGCTTTCTGGAATATGTCTTTTTCAAATAAAAACAATATTAACATTTTTCTGTAGTCAAGAAGAGAACTGTTAGAACAAAAAGATGAAATGTGTACTTACTACACAATTTTAAATGATTTTAGAAAAACTGAAGAATGATAAAAATAGACTGTCTTACTCAGCATATTTAAGAATACATGGGAAGAACTTCATGGATGCTCCTTACCATTTTATACTAAAAAAGAAAAGCAAGGATAGGGCCTACACAGGAGCCTGAGAGGGTGCTGAGGCAGAAGGAATACCACGAGCACATGGACTCATGGAAACCAAAGTGTGTGAAGATGAGAGTGGGAAAGCTGAACAGACAGCAAGCAATACAAACTATAAGGAAACTAACAATCCTGCAGGCTTGCTATTAAGTTTTTCACCATGTACAAGCTGTGTCCTAAAATAACTTCCAAGTCTAGTGTTCTGCCATATTGAGGAGAAAGATTCTATCCCTAGTGATTAAGGATACCTCTTTGGATCTCAAAGTGTTAACATATCACTTAATTCTGTGACACTCTAATAAGATTCCATATCCTAATTTTGCCATTAATTAGTTTTTTTTTTAAAGATTTTATTTATTTATTTTTTCCCCCCAAAGCCCCAGTAGATAGTTGTATGTCATAGCTGCACATCCTTCCAGTTGCTGTATGCAGGACGCGGCCCCAGCATAGCCGGAGAAGTGGTGCGCGCCCGGGATCCGAACCCTGGACGCCAGCAGCGGAGCGCGTGCACTTAACCGCTAAGCCACGGGGCCGGCCCCTGCCATTAATTAGTAATCTGGATACACAATTTAATCTGTGTGTCAGTTTCTACATTCACAAATTCCCTAGGTCACTATTCAGTGAAACTGGGAATACTTAGTGTCAAGTACTATGCTTAGTGCAAAAACCTAAATAACGTACCATCGAAGCTTTTGAGCCTCAGTCCAATGGGGAAGAGTGAGAAGCAAACAAAAAAATTCAGAAAATACACTAAAGGTCATAAGAGATAAACATATATTTCAGGGTCAGTTTTTAACAACAGCATCTCTCATAAGTAATTTGTTACAAACAAAGCAGTAGAGTCTTTTAACTATGTATTCACTCTTAAAAAAGGTTTTGGCACAATCCACAATTTCTGACTTTCTATTAATAGGTGGTGAACCCAGGAATACTAAAGGTTTATAGGTCTAATCTATAACTTGCTTTTCCGGTTTCTAAAGCAAGCAGACAGGCCTCATCCTACAAATACAGAACTCTGGAACCTTCATCAGAAAGCACCATCTCAAACTGTTATTCTAGCTCAATTTGTCAATGACTCAAAAAATAAAAGTAATGGAAGATCTATTTCAAGTATTCCAGATTAAGGCAGACCACCAGAATACTACCACCAGATAATAACATCTAAGCACCTAAGTGAACTACTTCCAGTGAATTGTGTTTTATGCCTTCAGCTTTTATTAACCCACAGAATACAAAGAAAAATAGTCATTTTCTGGATCAAATGGATCTTTTCAAATTTTTTTATATTTTTAACTCGTTTTGTGAAAAATTTACAAAAGAATGGAGGGAAAGTGAAAAGAACTTCGTTAGATAATTTTAATAAGAATTTAAACACAGCAAACCCAAATTTTTATTCCATATTTTCCTGGCCTTGAAAGTATATATGTCAAAAATGGGCAACATTCTTTGAATGCAACTAACTGGAACATATTCATCTTGTATACAGTCAATTCTTGAAATTTGTGGTATTTATGATCTATAAGGTTACCAGGAACACTGAACCAGCGAATACAGGGTTAGGTTCCTTCTCTGGTCACTACATTTTTCACCATGTATAGGTGAACTGATCCATACATAACCTTGTTTTACGTGTGTTTCTGTTTCTAAACACCTTATTTAATAATACATATTGTTGATTAATTAATAATGAACTCATAGCCAACAACACTACAACTCACATGAACGAAGCTTATCCAACACACATATTTTCTCCATAAGGCACATCACAGCCTTCTTCCACTTAGGAACACCAGAAAGCACTTCAGCACAACACTGGGGGGCCATTTTGAACAGCGAAATAATCCACTCAGTCACTGCACAGGAAGAACTTCAGTATTTTGTCACAAAAATTTGGAATACCCCATTTCACACAAAAACTTGAAAAATGTAGCACTGGAGACCATGAGAAGGACACTTGTTTACAGTATGAGGGCTGAAACAAGAAGGCAGAACATTTGCCTAATTTGACCTCAGCTGGGAACAAGAATGCCAGGTGATTCATATCTTTCGTTACTCTTTGCATGCACGTCTGGGAATGATCATGAAAGTGCCTTGAGTGCTGATTTTGGGATTACAAACGAATTGAGAAAGGAGGAGAATTTGCAAATATGGAATCTGTGAATAATGAGGATCATCTGTACTTATAAAATCTACCTCTAATAGGTTCTAATTTACTATTAATGCTGGTGCTTCTTGCCCATGTATCATCAAAATGCGGTACACTTTTGAAAACTTTAATAGCTCATAATTTTGTTGAAGGACAGACATATTCCTGGCTCTAGAAATGCAATAACGTATTTAGATTTATAATCAATGAAAATGATGGATTGTTTTTTTTCATTTCTACATCATTTATTTCCTTCCAACCATGTTTGTACATACTGCTTTCAGCATTAATACAATTAAAACCATATTAAGTAAACTTTGTTGCATGAACATCAAAAAAGATGAAGCAATACTATCATCATCTTTTAGCAAAATGTGATGATCCAAACTCTTGTCACAAAACATTGGGTGAAGTTCTTCCTGTGGAATGACCGACTGAATGGGAATGCCATATTTTCTTTTTGTCCTTCGAAATATATTGTTTGCTCATGAATTGCTGAGTTTGAGAAAATTTATCTAGAACACCATCAGCTAAAACTCAGTCCCAGATTTCACTTATACTATCAATTTTACCATCATTATTAGAGCCTAGAGTGCTGCTGTGTCTTTACATTCATCTTCTGAGTCATTTTATCACTGTGAAATGTCTTATTCTGGCAATTTCCTTCTTTTTGTTCCTATGGGCAGAAAATGAAAAATTCTGAATTCCAAACTGTATCCAATTAAATGTTAAAAAAAAAAAAAAAGACTTAGAAGAAGTCTCCAGACTTCTTTTATAGCTTCTTGAAAGATTATGCCACACTTTAGGAAATGCAATTAGAAAACTGAAAAATAACGAATACTAGCTATTTATTTCATTTGTATTGATTCATTTCACTATTATGTCATCCTTGTAGGTGATTCCATCATTCCTCTAGTCTCTTATTATTTTAACCTTTTTTTTAATTATAGGTGGGAATTGATGAGTAATGGTGAAATACTTCCTAAGATCATGAAACAGCAAAATGTTTCAAGATACAAGAGAAATCAGACCACCAATTGCAAGATAGTAAATGTCCTTTTTGTTCTAAGGTCTCTAAGGAAAAATAAAGTCATGAAAAATCAATGTTTAAAATAGCTACAACTGTTCAAAAAAGAAACTCAATAACCAGACCCTGGTGGTATACTGCAAGTTAAAGAATGTTGTAAGAAATAGCCAAATACAATCTGTTCGAACATTATTCGTTGTCATGAGATTGAGTATTCCATATCATTCACTATCTCCTATATGAAACTTTGCAAGAGATTTTTTTTTTTCTATTTTTGTTTTTACTTAATATTAGGAAAAGTTCTTCTGAGAGCAGGTACGCTTCCTTTTTGCATAAGATCCTCCTAAGGAACTGTATGTCCCATTCCATTCCAAGACCTTCAAATTCAGATCTAAAAAGTCAAACTTACTATATATAGATAAGCTTATAGCCTGTGTATCAAGATTGTTCTTCTTTTCTAATCTTGATTTTCTACTCTTATTTAATTCTGATTGTCTTTTGCAAGTTTTAAAAGATGATTTCATTTTAAATGTTCTTTTAATAAGAAATCTTGTATGAAACAAAGTGAGAGGGTTATGAAAAAATAAAATAATCTCTAATATAGTTTCAACTGCTAGGTTACTAAAATTTCTTCTTTCTCTCTATGTCATCCTCATTCTTCCAAAGTCTGCCTGTTTCACAGAAGAGCAGCTGTGAAGACTGGCCTTATGTAGACAAGATGCCATTTGAAGGGTTAACTGAAAATGAAACTGACTTAAGAATGTCTACTTAATGGGAGAGTCACATGGTGACATATAGAAGAATGTTTGCTGCAGCCTTACTAAAAACAGTGCAAATAAATTTACTGAACCATTCTCCTAATCTTTTACATTAAAAACTATGATTTCTAACACCAATTAATGACATAAGAAAATACTCATAATAATATAAATAAAAAGTAATGGTTTTGTTTTTAAGACTGTTATACCATAAAATCTGGAAAAAATACATCTAAACGTTAATAAAAACAAGTTTCAGCAGTGAAACTACAAGTGATTTGATTTACCTCTAAATTTTTGCTTTTTCAAAAAAATTTTTAAAACAGTAAGCGTTAAATGTCCATAATTAGGAGGAAAAAGGTATTTAGCTCTATGTGTGAGTAAAGAAATGCCAAGAGGGGATTTTTGGAGAATTTTAACTTTATGCACTGTTTGAATTACTTTTACCAATGAGCATATACCATTTTCACAACATTAAAACTGTATTCTGAAATTATATTAGTAACAAAATTGAAATTATAAATG